TGGTCTCTTTTCGCACAGCAATTGTTCCTGGTAGTTGTGATGAGTGTAGTATATCAGGAGATTCATCCAACGCAGAGTTCTATCTAACTATAGAACCAATAAAAGCAGACCATATAGGAACATGGAGATGTGGGAATATAGAGCTATCACCTCGGTACTATGAAACTGATATAATTGTGCAAGGTAAGTAGATTATCTTTGTATTCAGACTAGTAAAATTAAAATTGCCCTAAACGATCGGAAATATTATTTTTATACTATTGTTACGCATAAATATAAAATATACGCGACAATTCGGTTGCCATTTCAGTTCACCTAAAACACATAATACACGATAGCAATGTGTAAACGTTTCATTATATAACCCACAATACACCCGTGCTGAAATGCAATGTAGAGAGTATTGAAATTTCGAACCAGAGAATGATATATCATGCATTCAGGCTACTCGAATATCACTTTAGTATCAGAATAAAAACGGAAATAAAATACAATTTTCTGATGTGTAAAATTAAGTACAGCCCATGATTGTATAACCGAGTTGATAATTTCTGTCTCATTTTCTTTGCTTTATTTTATTTTATTTACTTTTCGCATTTTCCCAAACCGCAATCACTACAGTATTCACTCATTGTGTGTATCCCACTTTGAACTAGCGCCATCTAGTGTACATTAAAACAAATCTTTTACCCTAAAGCTTTAAAGCTTTTACCTACTGCATTTCGTTAATTATATCGTGGTCGGACAGAAAAACAGGTGCCAGTTAGCAAATATTATATACATGAATTCAAACTACCTGAACCTAGTTTTGTGAGTCAAGGTTCATTGTTTTCGCTGCATGACATATCTGGGGTCTGCCAGTTCTAAATAAAAGTTCATGCTCTGGTACTTGTTCCCCAGGTCGGACAGCGGTAAAGATCAGTAATAATTAACACGAATAGTTATTGCCAATGTAAATAGGCATAAGGTCTATCGGATTTGAAAACATTAATCTCTTCATGGAGACTGAAACGCAGGTTAGTTAGTTAATTAACCTTTGGTCAGTGCGACAGTTGCCCTCGATGCATTATATACAAAAACAAAAACAAAAAGACGCCTAAAATCAATTTCAAAATTATTTAGCAATAAAGTCACATATGTAACAGCTCGTACCGAAATCCCTGAAATACTATTCATCTCATCAGGCACGACATGGAACTATTTTGAACATACGACACTGAACTGAAATTGATTCGCATATTCAAACCCAAGAACAATGAAACACAATTGTTTTTACATAGTGGCGCAGATCAACACCCAAAACAACATTGTCCCGTCAAAAATATTAATGTAAGAGCTATACAGTTAATGGCTTTTAAAAACAAGTCACATGACTGTTTTACTTCAGACAGCTGTCGATAGACAAATTTGAATACTGGCCAATCAGTAACCATGACTTTCGGATTAGCGTCCTGGACGTCAAAAAGCACAGTACGAGTATGGTTTGAGAAATGTACTTCCTTGTATTAAATTTGTTTCTGGTTCATTTTGACTCAATTTATTTTGACTCATATTTTTTGTTTGTAATCATTTTTCTTCGTTTGGAATTTCACTTAAATATTGATTAATTTCTAATCATATAATCTATTTATTTATGATTTCTTAAAACCAGCAACCATCATTACATTGCCATCTGACCACACAGTATTATTAGGCACTGGATCAGTCACATTACTATGTACAGATACTGGTAAACCTGATAAATCCTAATCATATAATCTATTTATTTATGATATCTTAGAATCAGCAACCATCATTACATCACCATCTGACCAGACAGTAAATGAAGATGAATCTGTCACATTTGAGTGTACAGCTAATGGTGTACCTGGTGTTACATACACATGGCAGAAAGACAGCACTGATATTGATATAGGTGGTAGATATGCAGTGACTGATGGATCATTGACAATATCTAATATTGAGAAATCTGACTATGGTACATACACTTGTATTGCTGACAATGGTGTAGGGTCAGGTGACTCAAAATCAGCTGTTCTGACAGTTAATTGTGAGTACAGTTAAAAAAACAAATGTGTTGGTTGTTACTTATTCTATTAATTGTAATATGTGAGAACAATATTGACGCCTGACTAAGGACAATATACAGAGGGCAACAAGGTTTTTGAAGGTCAACAAATCTGTTTATCGTCTGTGGCTGAGGTAAACATTTGTATTATTATCCAAAATAAAACAAATGTTTTGTAAAAGGCTGCATTACACGATCTCTTTTTCCCCACTTTCTGAGGATAACATTCAGAATTGTCCCCATTATGTATATTCCATAATCCCTTTCTAAAATTACTGTCATGTTCATTGTGTATGAACATATGAACTGTCTTTGAGCTACCGCTACCTACTCAAGTTAGTTTTTGTTAAATGAACAATTTAATGAAACCCACATGTACATTTTGAATGTACGATACACATACAGACATAACATTACCTTGAGAAATTAAATAATAATAATAACTTTATTGAAATTTTGTTAAATAATGCTCTGTTTCTCCAATTACATTGAATTTGCCTCTTTTTTAAATTGTTTCCATGTTTGCAACATATTTTATACCAACATAATATGTTAATGGCATTTTTCTGTGTACATGTAGGTATACTTATGATTTGATAGTTTACCGCTCTCATTCGGAACTTTTGTTTGAGATATATTTACTTTAAGATATTCCAGGATTTGTTAACATCTTGTCGTGCGAAATTCAAAACAGTCAGCTAGCATACGAATGATAATAAAATAAATGAGAATAATTTACCAATATGTACTATATTCATCCTACCATATAAGGAAACGCGAATTCTGATAATAATAATAAAAAAACATGGCTGTCTCCAGGGTTTGACCAGACCAACACAAAGAAGTTCTCTAAATCTGTTCTAAACGTTATAGATTCCGGCATTCCCATGATGTATTCCTGGGAGGTAAGATGTAAATGATGTTGCATTGACCTCTGATATGCATGGGTCGATACTCCCACTGCACTGTCTTTGTGCATACTTTGCAGTATACTCGTAATAACCTTATTTTATATTACTGTCATTAGCAATATGTCATCACTGCCGACCATAATTGATTCTGATAAATGTCAATACAAGGTATATTAAGTAGTTTAAAGAGTAAATGTTGGATCGAATCAAGTTGTCGTGATGAGTTTTGATACGAGAATGATGTTATTCAAAGATACAGTCTTTCTTGATCTATCAGCGTACTTTCAAAGTCATGGTGTACCGTGCATCTCATTGTAGTAATACGACTCGACATTCACCGCTATGTAGTTCCATGCAGTTCATTGGTCTTTGTGAAAATCAAATACGTTTTGAGAATACTGTATATTTCAGAGTCGGTAGCAATACAATGTGCTCATTATATGTGCTAAAATATCTTGCACAAATATGTCATGCAACTTGTGTATTAATTTTTGTTTTATGAATTTAGTTATTGGGTTATCCATTATTATTATACATATGTCATCGTAACGCCATAAGTTACACCGGTATCTTACAGGATATTTTCATCCTACCATATAAGGAAATTATTAATTATTTCATATTATTTATCATATTATGCATATTCTATATTACATTTGTGCATCTGTACGAAATAGAAACGTTGTTATAATTATTATACTATTTATAACGATGAAATTAAAATCAACAAAAAATAAGAATCACAACGCAAAACAAAATAAAATACTGTAACAGTACCATGTTTTTGTGTCCTTGTCTCTAATTTTAACAAACTAAGTCAATAAATATCTGAAAAACAATGACATATAAGGAAAAATGAAGACATTTTCCCAAACAAAGGAATGACATGCACTCGCCAGACGACAAGGAACAATTAATGTCCATGACTTCAAAGTAAACTTCTGACTGAAACCAATAACATTCTTTCAAAATGTGTACGCTAAATAAGACTTTGCTGTAAATACCATATAATTGTAATGAAACCCTGTTATATGTAGAATATCAACAACTAAAACATGGAAAGGATTTTTTTTAATTATAAGCATGCTGGTAGCAACTATTTAATACCTAAGACAATGATGGTTCCTGGTCACCTGATAAATTAACCCCCTCTCTTTATTTCATTTATTTTATTTTCAGTTAAACCGAATACTGTTAGTTTAAGTGGCTATACTGGTGCTGTTACCAGTGGTAGTAATCTACTGTTAACCTGTGCAACAACAACTAGTAACCCATCAGCAACTATACTGTGGTACATGAATAATAATATAATAGATGATAACGATGATAATATCAATATTGGGTCTCTAACTGAAGCTAATGGTGACTACAATGGCAAGATATCAGAACAACAAATAACAATAACAACAAGAGCTGAAGATAACCGAGCAGAGTATAAGTGTAAAGCAAGGAATTCACAAGTCACTGGATATGTTAATTCAAATATTGAAACCATTACAGTGTACTGTAAGTAATGAATTTACTTTAACAATCACTTTAAATGTACCTAATACACAAGTTTACTTGATAGTCCCTCAATCCACATATGTCGAATAAGAAACCTACCTGCCTACTCTCAGTATAAAAACAATCTGAGGTGATGTGTAAAAGAATGGTGTAAAGCAAATGAATATGCAAGTATTAATTGTATAGATATTTTGCAATGTTTTATTGCAGACAAAATTTTCATTTGTTTTATTAGCATTTGTTTCCAAATTCTCTAAA